TGACATCAAACTGTCATTTATATTACACATCTTTTCACGTTTCATTGTATGATGTCTTTCAACTATATCAATTTTCCTTCCATTTAACACAATAAGATTAGAATCATCTTCAAAAGAACGCCATCGATTGTGATCTCAATTTGATAGAAAATGTGTCACTGCAGTTCCGTGCAACATGTCGAGAATCAACCGACCAACCCAGAAGCAACATAACTACTTTTGACCTTAAACCCTTAATCGTATTTGTATTGGGAATGATTAACATGATCCAAACACTTTAATCAAACATATGAAATAAAGGCTCGGTTGATCAGTACCTCTTGAAAAAGAAACACAATGGCTCCACTTCCGGTTCCGTCTTTGCGACTCAATTTCCGCCATGATTGAACCCATCAATCCCTGGTTATGGCTACTGGTGCTTGCGCACAGTGAAGGGCGGCATTGTTTCGCTGTCTAGTCCATCTGATTCTTGTAATGTATTTTCAATCAAGGTAATAGTTGGCACATTTCATTGTTTGACACAAAGAAGCATGTATATTTTGCTATGCATTCGTGGCATAACAAACTCTGGTTATGATCTTAGAGTTGCGTTTCTGATTATTTATTGATACAATTTCTGACAGCTGCATTGCTTTATTTCTCCGCCCTCGGTGACTTGTTCTGTAGAGTTTCTCGGGGTCACGGGCAATGTTTCTATTTCAGTCCGCCGAGTACATAAATATAACACAAGTCGACGTAAAGCTACTTAAAACGTATCATAATAAGTCGCGAGAACTATTTAAAATATCAGTAATGGTCGTGGCCGTCAATGAATGTCTGAAGATCTATCGATTTAATAAACTGTTGCAAATATTCATTACCAAGTTTTAGATGTAGGTCGATAAGCGTGTTCATCATGGATGTATAAATACGAGTCACTTCAACGCTTTACTTATCAAACTCCATGTCTCATGTAATCACTCTGTATGTTTTAGAGAAATATTTGTTATACACGAAGTAGACATTTAAGAGACAAGTTTCAAATGCACTATTTTTGATGTTTCAAAATGATTTCGGAAATAGATAAATTCTAAAGGTTTTTCCCTTCTTGTATATTTATGAGAATTTAACATACTTTTGTTAGCAATTCGGTTATATGCAAGTATGATTTTATAAAATGTATAATTCAGTTTGAAATTGTGACATATGGGTTCCCAGCTATGTCCGATCGTATCGGCCTTCTGGTGTTAATAGTAACTTCGCAACAGTGTTTTCTACATTATTACTGGCATTTTGAAGATGCAGCACATACCTTGTCCTAGAAGCGGATTTAACTTCTTTCTCGTGTTTCTAGCTTCTCCTAGTTGAATTACAATTTCATGACCTTTTGTGAAACTATGCCCGCAATGCCCTGTTTGTCTACCTTTTCGTTAATGTGCATGATTTCAACGCTGCACTCAGAAATATTCCAACTGCATAATCGTGTCTGGAAAAAACAATGCAAATAAATGCCACGAAGAAACATTGATCTGCACAATAAGGATACGATGACATGCATCAGTCAAGTATGTGAGCCTGACCACTGCATCCCGTTAATCGCAAGGATGGATGGTTGAAAACATGAATACATGGTCATCAATATCTTGGGCGTCAACAAAACTTGTTGTCCCCCGCCGCCACACGGAACTGTGGACTGTGTATTCAGCAGTCCCGATTTTTTGTTAATGTGATATCTCATGAACTGTTGCATCCAATGTCTTCAAATTTGGTGACAGTTTACATTGGGGGATTACACAGACCGTGACCGTGATTTTCCTTTTCAAAATGCCTTCAAATTTGGCGACAGCCTACATTGGTTGATTACGCAGGCACCAGTCAATTTGGGTGACCTTGACCTAATTGTCCAGGGCACCACGACAATTTGACAATTTTTGACCTCTTGTAAACGCAATATCTATAAAACGTTACACCCAATGTCTTCAAGTATGTCGACAACTTATATTGGGTGATTACGCAGTCAGGTCATTTCAGGGTGACCTTGACCTTATTGTTACGCGATTCTGAAAAGTGGCCATGACTAAAATCTACATCAGACAAAAGGTAATGATCTATGTGACCAAAACATAAAAACTAGTAAATATGTTATATTTCATTCTTCTTTAGGGGCGGGGTACACTGCCATGTTAGTGGCAAACACTTGCTACTTTTATTATTGTCACGTTTTGAGTCATGTAAAGTGAAAGATTACACGCATGTTGAGAATACTTTCCGAGCTGTGCATCAACCAACATGTCCCAGCTGACGTTCTCTTTCTTAAATTTGAAGTCGAAGCCGCTTTAACATTGTTGCATCCATAGTCAAACTAATTCACAATATTCGGGGTCAAAATAGATACCTGTAACCTCAGGCCGTGCGATCCGGGTCCATGAACGCCGTGTGCCATCGTTCACTGATGACGTTAATCGTTATTTCTTCTTGGTCATATTAGTTTCCATCATATACCGTGCGCCGAGGAAAACCTGATTTTTACAAACAGCAGCAGTAGTATTAATAATAGCAGTGTGGCTTTTATTACTTACGATACTTACTACGTCCTGCCAATAATTGGCTTAAGATCCACAAAACTGTGTACATGTATTGGAAATAATAGTAAAGGACTAACTGAACAAACCTTATAACTCATTTACAAATGTTCAGTAAATGAGGACGGTAAATATTTTGAAGCTTAATATCATTAATAGGTATTACCAACGCCTCGTCATCATTAATTTGAAACGCAAAGTGGAGTTGGATGAAGAAATGACATAAATGTATACTCTACGATATAAATACTTCTCGGCAAGTGGTACTGAGGGGTTGGCTAATCTGTCGTTTTTTATATACAAAGGTAGATAATACAGTCCTATAAATTAAGCTAAAGTACTGAGGTGGTCTCTATACACAAAATTGTTAACATCATATGCAACAGTTAGAGTTAGCATATGTCTTCCATGTCTTACGTTTACTTCCAAATAACACAGCTGATGTTCTCTTTCTTAAATTTTAAGTCTAAGCTGTTTTGACATAGTTGCATCTACAGTTCCTCTCAAAGTGCAGGCCCAGTCAGTACACATATTTTATAAGCAGTGTGGCAACATACGAACAACGATACTATCAAAAGAGTGTTTTTTACTTTTAGACCCTTAATTAATTCCATGTTGCCTTCAGTTCGAACATATATACAAATATTCACGTTTCAAATCTGTTTCACATTCCCCTTGCTGTTACATTGTGCATTGTTTTCTAAACCCAGGCACATCAAACAAGCTCTATTCTGAACTTCTTAAAATTCCCTCTCCTTCTCCACTACAAACACACAACACTACAACAACAACAGTTTTATACTTTATTACACTTACAAGCTCAAATAGTACTCATTGATTAAATTGTTATTTTCTAAAATCGTATATATTCCATGTTTCGAACCATCACAAAATCACAGTTTTACCACAATACCATGTCAAGCATGTAACATCTGTATTAAGTTACGTAGTGTCTTGACGTGAAAATCGATAATCTACAATACAGCAGCACCACCATCTGTTCTCAAGAACTTCTGCGTAACTCTAAACCTGACCACAGGTCAATTCCTTCCCATTATTCGGAAATAAAAAAAAAACACTAAGAGGAAGAAGTATATTTCAGTTTGGAGCAGGGGCCAAAAGCTATTAAGAGATTTCCTTTCAACAACTGAAACAACCTTGACGTAAACTGACTATTCAGTTTTGCAAATAAATGTCGAATTTCTACCCTGTTTTGACTGTTGTCTAGATTTACCATAGATATGTTATCAATGAACAAATCCAGTATTTACCACGTATTAACATTCATTTAGATTCGCCGCATGTATATGGTATCCCTAAACGACATTCACTCACTGAGCTTTACGCTGGAACTGTGTTGCAGTGAAACCTAACCCCAACCCTCAGGAACATGCATTTCCCTTTGAAACGCTTTACAGTGTTCCAGTGGCGCTTCCGACCACTTGCTGTGTCTTTTGAACCACTTTTTATCTCAAAAGGCCCAAAGACACAGCTATCAATTAAAACCTCATGGCTCGCCACATTTTGCAAATGTCCTTAAAAAGGACGACCGTGGGGGGTTTTCCAGGCTGTTTGTGACATTGGCCTTCCCTCACGATGGGGGTTACCAGAGAGGCAGGAATAGTCCATTACGCATTATGTCATCACAATGGGCTTCACAGTTATTAATTAGTTTGGTTTTTGAATTTGACGATTGTATCTTGGCTGTGTTCATCATATCTCACACGGGACAGAGGTACGAATATGAGTACCGTTCAGGCTTTCACATGTCCTATTTACTCATATTCGTGCATGACATAATACGTATTCATGACTTGAGCCATTGTAAGTGTTCATTTGAAAAAGGGATATTTAAGATGAGCTTTCTCGAAACTGAAAGATCTATTCTTGTCAGTTTGAAATGCGACATTCAGCGATATCGTCATGGAAATTAAGGCGTTCCTCCAGCGAACAGCCTGTTGTTTTCTCTTTCCAACAAGTGCATGTTCTAATGTTACAGACCCGTGGAGATCCGGGGTAGAATAGGTCTTCAGCAACCCATGCTTGCTACAAAAGGCGAAAATGCTTGTCGTAAGAGGCGACTAACGGGATTGGGTGGTCAGGCTCGCTGACTTGATTGACACATGTCATCGGTTCCCAATTGCGCAGATCGATGCTCATGCTGTATTTGGAATATTGTTGACGAACGCAAAATGCCACGTCTAAGTGAAGGCAACCGTCATATCGCCATTGGTTTGCTTGAAGCTGGCCAGTCTCAACGTGCAGTTGCCCGACGCATGAATGTTCACCAAAGCACCATTTCACGGCTCTGGGAGAGATATCGCCGGCAGAATGCGGTAGCATATGCCCCTGGTAGTGGGCGACCTCGAGCGACCACTGCGGCGCAGGATCGCTACATCCGGGTACATCACCTGCGTCATCGAACAGCTACGGCGACCAGTACCGCTTTCTGCACAGACCGTCAGGAACAGGTTGAGAGAGGCTGGTTTACGTGCAAGAAGACCTTATTTTGGCCCTGTGCTTCAACAACAACATGGTCGACATCGAGTTCAATGGTGCACCAACGTTCAGGCCTGGAACCTACAGAATTGGTTCAGTGATGAATCACGATTTCTATTGGAACGACGCGATGGAAGAATGCGGGTGTACAGACGTCGACGTGAACGTTTCGCCGACGCTTGCGTTCCCCAGGGGGACAGATTCGGCCGGGGCTATGTTATGTGGGGAGAGATCACCTGCCGTAGGAGAAGTGATTTGGTAATGATCCAGGGCAACCTGACAGCTCAACGGTACTGTGACGAAATCCTACGCCCACACCTCCTTCCAATCATTGATCGCCAGAGGGAGTTGTTTCAACAGGACAATGCCAGGCCCCACACAGCACGTCAGACTAGAGACTTCTTCCAGAACCACAACATCAATGTGCTCCCCTGGCCCTCAAGATCACCGGACTTTAACCCGATCGAACATCTGTGGGATGCCCTGGACAGACAGGTGCGACGCCGTAACCCTCAGCCCCAGACACTTCAGCAACTCGCACAGGCACTACAGGCAGAGTGGGCTGCGATTGGGCAACACGAGATTCTGAGACTTATTCGTTCGATGCCGAGGCGATGCCGTGCAGTTCTGGATGCCCACGGTGGTCACACGAGGTATTGACTTCAGCGCCACCACACGTCTCCATGTGACACTCAAACTGACTTTCCTCGAGTTGGTGCCAAAGACGGATAAGTCTGCATTCCCAGTGTGCAATTTCGCTATATTTCATTGACTAAAGCCTACAAGATGTTTCAAAATAAACATAAAAATACAATTCAAAGTCCTATATGCGTTTCTTTTGGGGAGAGTATATATGAAAAAACGAGCTTAGAAAATATATCTCACGACGAGCGTACGTCAATAAGAATTGAAATGTTATTTTTGACTATATGGTAGTTGCTAAACGTACATGTCGATCTCTATGAAATTCGTATGTCGGATGGTGCTGTTTTATATCCAAAACGTGCGGAATAAAAGTCCTTCTCTTGTATTCCCAGTATGAACAAACCTGTTGAGAATATCTGAAGGTTTGGACGATTGCTCAAATTACAGAAATTACAGGTTTAAGCAATTCCAATCAATATCCGTCTTGAGTTTTATTTTCCTCTCTAAAACAATGAGAGAATACAGTATAGGTTACTGTACAAGTACGTAAATGAGAATCTTGCTAATATAAGTGGTAAAAGGTATTATGCCTATGAAGACCTTCACCAGAAGGTAATGCTCTAATCATTGGAATTGTACCAGGATAATATATTCAGAACAAGTATCCATATATACTAAGCAGCAAAGGAAACGTCAGTTTGGACTTTTCCTTTGCAGAAACGGATAACTGTAAACTCATTTCATGTTTTGATTGTATTTTTTTGACAACATCTCCCACTTAACCTGAGCAAAGACATTCCTTCCCAAACTCAGAATGGAACCCAGGAAATGGTCTCCAAAACGCTACCTGATCTCGGAGATGGTACGGTGTTCTCTATGTTTTTCATGCAACTCATGTTGCACGTGCTGTTCACAAGGACCAGCCCTATAACATGCACCCCCAAACCTGGTTGAAACATTCACATTACAACGTCAGCAGGATGTCGCGACACACGACAGCTCAGAGGAACCAGGCGCAAGCCGTTGCCAGTCACTTCCAAGTCAACGTTCGGACCATCTACGGGCTGCAGCAACGTTTCCGGGCCACCAACACCACAAATGATCGCCCCAGTACTGGCAGACCAAGGGTGACCACAAGACGACAAGACCGCCATGTTGTGCAACAGCATGTACCGAATCCCTTCATGCAGGCATCCGAAACAGCACGCCAGCGCGCTCTCTGACATTAAGATAAGGAGGCTTTTTCTGGAACAAACATTTCAGCGGGGTACACTCTAAGCACTCCCAGGTCTCCTTTTTGTTACGAACTCTACCCACGGCCGGACCTTGAGGAAAACCACTAATTTGTTCTCGCAACATTAACACTCATGTCCTGATAATGATTAGTTATGGTGTTGGTGCAGCTGATGCCAAAGGTCTTCCTCTTTTCTTTGAACATGTCAAGGAGAACAGTCTGAAGCAGTGTACACATAATGTTAAGAACATACTTTGGACAATTTATACCAATTAAAGTATGATGAACTGTTAGGAATCATAGAAAAATTGTTTTCCATCCTGACAAAACGCTTTCTTTAGACGTTTATATGTATATGAGTTTTATACGATATTAACACAATACAGTCCTTGACCCATGATGATCTTTCAAGCTGCTGGTAAGGGATAGACGTATTGTGGAATTTCTGTTCCCGGAATTGAAAGTAATCTTATGGACTACGGTTGGCAAGATTAAACAATAGGGTCAACGACACAAAAGGTTATTGTGCGTCTGTTACAAACTATTTTACTCAGGTGATCACATCTGGAACAAGCCTACCAATGGTCACCAGTGTCTTCACTGGTGAATTGTCACCATGTTTCCAGTTTACACTCGATTAGCAATAAAGATGTGATATTAGATTCCCCATGTAATGAAGCTCTATCAGTTCGTTTTCCATTTTGTCGCTTAATTCACAACACGCCTCTAACTTGTAACCAATTTTACCCCTGATTCTCCTGACATTTTGCATGAAAAGTACAATACAATCTGTTGATCGAACAATAATTGTAAAGTAGTTATCTAAATGTGTATCTGTTGTGCTTTCATATGACATTCCAAATTCATTTTCCATAAGAGGTTAAAGGCATTTAAGAAGAAAAAAGACATGCTCTTCTAAAATAGAAGTTAATTGTCGATAAATATTACGCTTCACATGGCGGTATTCGGGTTACAACTTGAAACTTCGCATTCGATTTTAACCATCCATGTTTTTAAATGTTTGATTGGAATAACTTTGGAAGTTTTATGTCCATTGTGTGATGTTTGAACCAAAATTGGAAATCCCGATAACCACTAAACTAAGTAATGTCTGTCGGTAATAGGCACATACAACGGTGGCATCTCACTGAGAGGCTATTAGGACACACTTTGACTTTCCAGGAAGTAGTAATCTCGAATTTGATGACTGTGACAGTTTTAATCAGTGCGGATGTCAGGAAGGAAATGTACAAAAAAGATGAATTTCGATTTCTCCTCAAGACTTGTCAGAAATGTTGAAAACTTCACCCCTCTCCAGCAGTATCTGAATTCCGTGCTAAAACAGTTCAGCTCTTAAACATTACAAGTGGGAATTTCAAAATTTCACCCCGTTGCAGACCTAATTTGGATCATTACACACAATCACATCCCGTTGCTTGGAATGTTAGACTCCGAACGGCGAAATAGGGCCCGCATGAAGAGAGGTGTTGAGAGAGTTTCGATTTAGGTATGGCTCCGTCCACATTGATTTGAGGAAGATGGTTTTAAAAGATTCCAACTCTACCGGCTACCATTCTGATTTCTAGTTTCCCTTTCTATTAAATCTTAATGTGGAGTCTCACTTCAGTGAAACCCACGAGCACAGTTCAAATATCGACGGTTTAGTGATCATATTCAGAGCGAAATCCTAATACAAAACAGGAAATTGATTGTGCTATTCCTAATGATACCTATTGTGGTGGTTATATTCTAATGTAACTCAAAAGAAACATCCGTTTATACATACAAACTGACTTTTAGAGAATTGTGGGACGTCTAGCGCGGACAAAGAATTGTGGGACATCTACATTCCTTTAGCGCGGACAAAGGGACATACTGTGTGTGAGCTGCTGACAACATGTATAAGTAAATAATGAAAACGATGGAAAGTGAAAGTGTTTTAATTCAATCTGGGTCTAGATTTTAAACACTAAGCCACTGTTGGGACTGCAGGTGGAGGAATTTCCAGTCTGTCATGCTCCGATTTTTAAATGAATAATTAGGAGATAAACCTAGTGTGTTTGAAAATCAGAGACATGCTTTACTGAATTGATGGCGACTAAATTTCAATTGGAATTGAAATATTTAGTCGCCATCAATTCAGTAAAGCATGTCTCTGATTTTCAAACACACTAGGGTTATCTCCATTCTACCATGACCCATTTAAAATCGAACTTCCTCGCTCTGCGGAAGACACTGCGTAATCCGGCATCGGACGAGAGGCGAATTGAACTCGTCTGTGAAGGGAGCGGTAGGTGCCGTTCGTATTTTTTTAACATTACAACATAACAATATTCTGTCTAAAGAAATCAAACTACTGTTTATTCAATGCAATTATGTAATACCCGAGATCTTCGTTTTTTTCCATCCCAACTCCACACGACTAAAACCAGCCTATTGTTTTGTGTGCGGTGAAACTGTACCCCCCTGGCCACACTATAATGGAATCGTCTGACCTACTTATTTTCTTCGAAGTAGACAGTTACGCAACAGTTTGAAATGGCGGACGAGCCAGTGTTTGCGAAAGGTTGAAATTTGAATTGACAGTGGACAATACTTGACTGACTGTTGAATCTGAACCCTGCAGAATCGAAGAATAGATCCTTTCCTGGTCAACCTGTAACTCATCAAAGACTGTGGATTTTTATGACCGGCCGATCATGATTTCACGTACTGCCTCCACCCCTGCATGCGACAAAAGAGTCACAGTGCTGCTGCTTAGTGTACATGCGACTAACTTGTGATTCCTTGGAATTTTGTTTTCATCGTTGGGGACTGGATTGTGTCCAAGCGTTTTTCAAAGTAGATGAACATAACAGTAACCTTGCGGGGAAGCTGGCAGAGAGCTGAATTGTTTTGTGAACGATGCAACGGGATATGATGGAGTATGACTATGAGTGGCATAAATGTGGTGTTTCGCCAGACCGTTAGATCTATCTTGCAAATTTCCCATTCTAAACGGAATTAAATATACCATTTACCAGGTAGGTAAATGTTTACTAATGTTTTGCTGCATATTTTGTATAGATAGGGATGTATTTTTACAAGGCTTTCTGATTTATATGTTAGATATTGTTTTGTTTATGTTTGGGGCTGTGTATTGTAATTGAGTTTGAATATTTTTATAATAGAAGGTTATATGATAGTGAGGTTCCCTCATAATTGTGGGGGAAATCATATAAAACTGTATTTTTCGAGTTTAATAAATGTTTCATCAGCATTTCCATCACGTCTGTTGTGTTGATATTAGTCATGTTGGTGGTCAAGCTGAAGTAGTGGGGCAGTGTTCTATACGTGCGCAGTGAAGCGCAATGAAATCAAACGCATTTTTAATTCAAAAATTTCCAATTGCCTATGTGGAAAATTCGAAAGTCAGCGTCAAAATCCATGGAGTTGTTGTTATGATCCGCCATCATTGTGGTCAAACGGAAGTAGTTCTCACAATAAGATTTGTTAATGCGCGGTGAAGCGTCAATCCACAATTGATGCCGTCTGATTTTTCTGAACAACCAATCAGAATCTAGCATTTTTTGGATTCATGGTAGAATGCACAGTATATGACCCAGACGTAGCAGATGTATATTCCCGAAGTGCATTCCCTGTCAAGATGTCGTCTGCTTCTGGACAATCACGAGAAGCTGTCGTCTGCCTCTGAGCGTGGTCACGAGAACTGGACTATGCTGAAATCGATCTGCAGGATTCGGTGTCAGTTGTGACTCTATAACAACGTTCAGATGGTTACTCAGTACTTGCATCACTCCTACATGATATTATGTAAGGTCTCTTTCATTCAATAATGCATGTATTACTTGGACAAACATCGGTCCATCACAGTGACTGATTTATTAATGGGACTACCAGACGTTCGTCCGCAGTTGATTTGGACTTAGGTTTACAAGCTGACTCGGCAGTGACGATTTATCGCATTTCCTCCATGTTGTTTCGACAAATGAATCGAAGGCAATGGTTACCAAAGTTTTCATGTCTAGACTCCTAAATAAATGCACTTCGTACGACTGGCTAACCAAACAGGACACCGTCAGCGGTCCTCCACAAGTTGCACTACCTCGGAAGATAACAGGCAGTGTGGTTTGAACTGACACTGAGTATAACAAATCTTGATTCGAAAACGATGTCTCTCACACAGTTCACACCAATGTAACCACGCTTCAGTTGCCAAAGACTGTGAGGTTCTTGAGATACAATCCTGTAACAGGAAATGGAAGGAGCAATATGTCCAAAAGGCTCCCAGGTTTAAATTTCGAATTAACTTGAGTAAATGGTATTCGCATTTAAAAATGCTGTAATACGTGGCTCTCGGTTTTCCCATCTAGAGGTCAAGAGACCCTATGAAAAATACGTTTTCTTGGATGAAGAAGCGTTTTAATGAAAGGAGCGGGAGGTAGGAAGGACAGCACTTTTTTGGCAACAACTCTTCTCGAATCTCTCTTTAATCATGTACTACATCCTGAGATATCGAATACTCCTGTCTCCATCTGCATACGAATGGTTGATACGAACTAGAAGTTCCCCACATCTCATTTAACTACCAAATACCAAAATAGCACGCAGCCAGAACCAAACCCGAAACGACAGCATCTATGACACGTTTGCCGGACCATAGAAGACGCCATTGAATGATGATCATATGATAGGTGGTTTAAGAGAGTCATATTGGGGAAGATTATCAATTATAAAGCCAACGTCAACTGAGTAGAATTCTGTTCCGTTGACTGTAAGGACTACGCCAGAAGGAACCACTGAATCTCTGATATACGAGAATATCAATGAAGAATATTGATAACAACTACACTGTGAGTAATTGAGTGTGTGTGTGAGAGAGAGAGGGAAACAGCCCATATTAGTTTATGCAGGACTTTGGGTCCTGTGACCTCAAGTGCATTTTTCCTTCTTTGTTGTTATGGCGGCCGTCTGTACATAATTCAACCTTGACGTGACAATCCAGTGATCATCAGTATGAGCATCGATGTACGCAACTGGGATACGATGACATGTGTCAACCAAGTCAGCAAGCCTGACCACCCGATCCCGTTAGTAGTCTCCTGCGACAATCAAGGGTTGCTGAAGACCCTTTCTAAACAGGATCTTCATGGGTCGGGCCCAACTGTCACTTCTCGCTGATGAGATGCTATCACGCTCAAGATGGAGGAAGTTGCGGTGCGGATCACCAGGGAAGATATTGTACTGCCATTTCGTGAGCTCGTGTTATCTAATGCAGAATATAATACCCCCGACGCAACTAAGTTGCCACGGACATTCCATGAGATTTTAATTTACGTCCCATTTTATGAATAGCTAGTGTACTGATGACCTCTATTACCCGACATGGGGATGGAATTTGTCCGCACATTGAGTCAATTCGTTTTTGTAAAATACCATTTATCTAAAGAAACCTTCTCATACTATTTTGTTACTGTGCAACTGGGCACAGAATTCAATTTAAGAGCATTCCCCATACTGTGAAAAAAAGTTACCATCAATTCTCACTGTCAATAAACAGCAGGTGTTGGAAAGCATTTATACATTTCAAATCACATCACATTAGAAAGCAGATCTGTTAATTAACCCTTAATTATCATGTCATAACCATCACCCAATTCGACATACTAGCGACACGACATTTATCTAAACAAAACATCGTTCTCTGTATTGACAATAAAACACACTAAACATAAATGTGCACCCCTCGTGTTACCTAAGAACCATTACAATTTCCCAAGAAGATCTTGGTTAGAGTATGTCTTGGTCGAACCCGGTGGTAAAGCTCGCTGGCTTGGTTTATGTATGACACCGTGCCTCATGTGTCTAAATCTATGCACATGGTGTAAATCATTGGACTGTCAGGTCCAGACTTTTCACTGGAAAGAAAAGGCAAACCATCAAACAAACCAGCAACAGTGTCTCAACTCAACACGTTCTGAAACTAAGAGACAGAATGTGAAACGACAAGACACATCAGAAAATATACAGAGATGAAAGAAATTTTGAGAAGAAAAGTAAAACGTTTCAATTTTGTAATCGTATAGCATAATCAAAGTATAAAGCAGTCACCCCCAACGATCTTAACTTGACTCAACTAACAAGCACTTCCGAACTCTTAATTTTAGTGACAGTCGCTTATCTATGAGATGAAGCAACCTGAGCTTCTTGTTCTCGGGAACACCGTATTGTGGGAAAATGACACTTTCGAAGTAATTGCTAGACTCTAAAAGATATATCCAGCTTGAGTCATCGATGTAGTCCGGGGATGGGAATTTTAAATCTTAACGTTATCTGCCCCTTTAACGAACGGTTCCAATTCTTCTGGACCCATTGCAATTAAGAATCAGTTCGCGAGGTTTCCCATCGAGAGAAAAAAGCTCTTTCATCCGGTATTGATGTAGGTAAACTGGACCTCAAAGTGCAACATAATCACTGTCCAAAACTTGAAAGTGTCATTTTTGAGGAATTGATCCTAAATGGGATTCCCTTTGTTACAGATCTCAGTAGATTTTTGAGAATGTCGACTCAAACACTCGTTTCTGTTTTTATCACAAACTCTCTTTGTGAAAACTTGGAACGTGAGCTAAAGTATATGTGATCGATTAGCGACGATTTATCTAGAAAGAAACAACAGTGAGTGCAATGTACTCTACAATTGTTGGAGAGACTAATTTGGTGGTAAAAAGTCATATACTGAAAGGAAAAACGGAAGACAAAATTATTCAACCCGTAAATACAATAAATGCACCCTCTAAATTAAAATTGCAATAATTAAGATTATATCCAATTGCCCATGCTATTTCTTACTTTATCCCTCAATATATTTCAGTTTGATTCAGGAGTTAAAACCCTTATGTATTTCCAATGTAGATTACCTGCAAACTTTTACCTTGAATTTTATATGAAACAGTGGTTTCAAATGTTAAATCAAGCACAGTTAAATTTTCCAGAGTGAGTGAGTGAGTTTAGTTTTACGCCGCACTCAGCAATATTCCAGCTATATGGCGGCGAAAATTTTCCAGAAACCCAGCTTAGGAACGAAAAGACCAGCATCTATCTAACTGTCTAACAACCAAATCAAACAGAAAATATTTGTTCCAAGTCATTACGTGAAGCATCGACGTCTGGTAGGTCGTGTGGTAGGCTGTTTCATAAGATGTGATTTTGCGATTTACCTATTCGAATCGACCAAAACTCACGATACAATAATAACTAAAAGCTAATAAATAACAAGGCATTAGGATTACGTTTCACAAAAATATTGATAATAATTGTACGGAGACAAATTAATGATTTATTGGGGCAATACAAATCGCTTGTCGAGCATTGATGATCGATAAATATGATATGTTGAGATAATTACAAACATAATTTATCACAGTAGTGATAATAAGGCCAGTTCATAACAACTATCTATGCAGCTGGAGTATCAAGGGAGAACATATCGGGAATATTGGGATTGCAACTAAAGATTCATTTCGTGTGGACGATTGATTTGAATAATTTATGAGCTAGCACACGTATCAGTATGCCTGGTAAGTCCGGTGCAAATGTCGAATGTTTGCTTTAAATTAACAACATGGATGTTGCATCTGTCAAGGCTAAAGAGTGTCTGTTCTATGCAATGTGTCTTTTGTTGATCTACTGTGTTCAATTCGTGACTGGTCCTGAGGTTTTTAAAATAAGAGACAGATTTCTACAAACACACCTTTCCGCAAGAACAGCAATTTAAGACCCTCTTACATATGAACATGGAATTTTGGGCATGGTTATTTTCTTTTTTAATCTTTAGAATCCTTAAGGCTTTCCAGTGCGTCTAAAGAGGCTACTGGCTCTTCCGAGAAAGAATTCCCTCTCCCGAACTCCGAAACGGAAGCTCATGCAGGTTGCTTAGCAAGAGCTAAGTTGACGACCTCTTGAAGAATCTTATCTTTTCCATATCCTGTCCCGCTAGAAGTTTCACGATAACCTTGTTCGCCTACCCTTCCCAAGATTCCTGTCCTGCTTTAACTTCCAGTGCAGTCACACCTGAGTAGTACTAAACAAATCTCTCGATCTGCTTGTCTCTGTCACTGATCGTTTCACCAGTTGGGAAGATGTCCTTTGCGATGCTACCCTACACAACTTGGATAATCGCATCATCAGTCGATAATTGAATGCCCTCATAGACATGTAGCATGTGCTCATTGGATCATATTATTGCTGTTTCCTGTGCTTTTGTTTCGTCTAGAGGATGTGCATTCTATTTGGCTGCAATATGATGTCAGCACCAAATTTCACTGGAATAACCCAGCGGTTATGATTTGATGTTGTACCCCGACCTCATGTTCTTTCGACGCTCTGTCTCAAAATAGATAAATGAAGCTTTTTTGTAACTTTGAAGCTGAAAGTGATTGTTTTCAAACGAAGCTTGCTTGTTTTGACAGCTCTGTTGTCTGGGGTATTCTGGGTTTTTCAATGCTTTGCCTTTATGTAAAAAGCGAGAGAGAAGTACTTTCGATGTATAGCATGCATGCATATTAAATGCAGTCATCCATGTGGGAACGAAATGGGTCTTTAGCATGGCCTTTGGGGGCAAATTAGGACCCTTCGTTTAGCAAGGGTGGAAACTATATTTCTACAGTCACTTATTCCTCACGAAGATTATATCGCATTAAAAAAACAGAATATACAAAGCATACCTTTAATACACGTCTCGAAATATCATATACTGGATTATCAACATGGGCCCAAAATACAATCATACCGTCCCCCGAAATAGATTCTGTTTGGCGTTTCCATGTCCTGTCCCGCCTGCAGTATTTTAATTGTGCAGGGTATTTACAGTACCACATCCACTGAAAGTTGATGGCTTCAGTGGAATTACTACTAAATATTGTAAAAATGTCGATGCTATCCATATTGCAACAGTCCATGTTGCAGCTCACACGTTAAGTCTTAAGTTCGTATTCAACAGGTTACACGCTTCTTATAAGTGTTCAGGTGTCTCAAATTAAAAGCAGAACCTTCCAAGTAAAAATCAGTAACTTTGCCAAAATCATAGTAATAGAATTGATTAGGTTATATGCAGCAAGAATGGTGGTTTTGGTTGTTGTTTGACGTCACACTCAGCAATAGTCCAGCTGAATGATTGTGGCCTGTTACTAATCGAGTCTGGACCAGACAATCCAGTGACTCACGTCATGAGCAACATCCATGCAGTTGAGACACGATGACATGTGTCCACAAGTCAGCGAGCCCGACCATTAGTCCTGTTAGTCGCCTTTTACAATGATGGTCGGTTGCCCAAGATCAATTCTAACCCGGATATTCATGGGCCAGGAGTAATATAGGACGATGCAGCAAAATTGGTAGAAGTATCAGTGATGGTGTTGATAAGTACATTGTTGTAATCATAAAACACATGCTGTGTATGTCTAACCTGAAGCTGAGAGTGGAGACTACAGTATATAGTAAGATCTGCGGTAAAGTTGTCAACTGCTTATCTCCCAACAATATGGATGTAAAACATCATTCATCTTCTATTACTGAAAATCTCTCCAGCTTCCATGTTTAAGATCGTTCGACTCTCACCCGAGAAGGAAGTTAATTTTTCTTGTCATGAAGGATGAGTGTTGCCACACACTGCATGTATGCAGTAATTGATCGCCCTGTCAGCAGACTAGTGTTCGCATGTCCGTCTCTGTCACTCTCATACAAAAATGTATTGAAACGGCTTTGAGGGACATGGCGGCACGTGAATGTTTTGTGGAAATTATACCCC